GTATGTATTACCGATGGACTAGTAAGATAATACACATCAGAAAGTTTTAAAGTGAATTAATAAAAGATTTTAAGAAAAGAATGATATTTTTGAGCTATATGCCAATCACTGTCTACCAAATAATGATGACCTTTATTATTTACTACAAAATAACCAATTAAATTTCCATAAGGTAAACATGAATCAAGCATAAAATAAGTACTATTCCATCTAACAAGCATGTCTAATGCAAAATTTATAGGAGATAAATTTGATTTTATACAAGCATCTTGAAATTCAACATTTCTTCTATTACTACTAGTAATCTAAGCTAAAGAATCCATAATTCTATCAATATTATTTCTAATATTTTTCATACCACTTTTTACAATTAAATTAATAATGTGACACGCACAATGTTGGTGAAAAAACTTCAAATTATCATAAAAAGGAAAATTTATTTTAAAAAAATCTATAACTCTACTGTTAGCACTTGCATTATTTAAAGTTAAACTTATCACTTTGTGAACAATATCATAATCTTCTAAAACTTCAACAATTTTATTATAAATTTGTTGACCACTATGATCCACATCCATTAATCTAAATCCCAATAAAGATTTATTTAATTTATATTCGTTATCAAAATAATGACTAATCACACAAATATAATATTGTTTAGCTTTACCACTCCAAATATCGACGGTTAGAGCGACACTAACATGACAACTATGTATTTTATTTTTTAATTATAATTTCATTTTCCCAAACAATTTTATTAAATCATTTCTAGTTGCAGTTTTAGAATAAGTTTTAAATTTTGGAAAAAATGAATTTTTAATAAATCTTTCAAAATATTTATCTTCAACCATATTAATAGGTTGATTAGTTGCAACAATATATAAAGTTAATTGTTCCCCATGTACATCAGAATTATAATGCCAAGTAGTACCCATACTAGTTATTTGAGTTTAATTGGTTTCTCTATTTCCATAATGATTTATATATATTTACTAGCATGCCTTTTTAAGGTACTAGTACCATTACCTGCATCGGCTTTATAAATATTTCCACAATACTTGCATCTTGCTTTCTTCACTTAAACTCCATTTTCTGTATCGTAAAACTTTTTGAAATGCACCTAAACATCTGATGTGTGCCTGTCGTCGGTTCTGATTGCAGTTGATGAACCCGCTTCTACTTAAGATAGAGTTGGACGAGGACGACGATTATGAGAACGACCTCTAGAACCACCGGGAGCTGTAGCAGCATGGGGAGGAAGGGCGAGAATATTATGAGGTGTATCGGATTTTGAGAATGGGAAAGCGAGACTGTTTGAATTTACTGCATTTACGTTAGTAAATTCAGGGGGACTAGGATAATTTTTTTCATCATCGAATTTGATGGGACGGAAATATCTATCCATTCTAGGTTAAAAAAAAAAAAAAATGGATATAAAAGATTTAAAGAAGGAGAATTGAAATTTGGAAATATGAATTGAAAATTGCAAAAACCAATAAAAATTAAAATAAGAGCAAATTGACAACAAAGAGATTGAGAGATTTCAATAGAGAATGAGAGAATTTGAGATGTGAGGAAACATGAAAAGTTTAGGCCCTATTTATAGAAAAAAAAAAAAAAAAAGACCAAAAAAACTCCTCCAACTGCTATAAAACGGTTATATTTGAAGGGTAAGATAGGTTTTTGCAAAAAAATATATTTAATTAATTAATTAATTTTTTTTTTTGTCCAACCTGTCGGGTTGGTGGTTGCCAACCCACGGATCAACCCGGTGGGTTGACAACCCCCAACCCGGCAGTTTGGACGGGTTTTGAAAAAAAAAATAAAAAACAACCTGTCGGGTGGCCAGGTTGACCTAAGAAGGCCTAGTTCGCCCGGCGGGGGATACCCGAGCCGGGTTAGGGTCGACCAGCCTAACCCGACCCATTTGTTCCACTTCTAGTCCAATGTGAAAATTTATTAAATAAATTATTTATTTGTTTTTTGGAAGAGATTGATTAATATTAAATGCATTTATAATTAATTGAAAATATTATATAACCCTCTAAATATATTGTTTTGGGGGGAAATTCCCTGCGGTGATTACTCCACATTCAAGGGAAAATTCCCTGTGGGTATTATCACCCGAAAATCCCCATCCTTTGGGTTGGGGATAGGGATTCCTCGATCCACCCAACTCAAGGACGAGTGCTCCCCCATGGGCTCTGGGTCGGGGATGGGTACAGGGGACCATCCCTCAGCCAGGTCTTGCCCTACGCCCATCTCCAAAGTGGATGAGAAAGCAAACAACATTTTAGTCCTCTTATTCTTTCTCTATCTTTTAGTCCATTTATTTTATATTGTTTGTAATTATTTTACAACATTTTTATATTTATAACCCATATAATTAGGGGTGATCGGGTTTCAGTACCTGAAATTTTTGGAGGAACGAGAACCGATTGGTTCCTGAAATTGGGAATCGGAACCGAAACCGATCGGTTCCGATTCCGAATACCCTGAATAAAATTGGTCCCTATTAGTTTACAAAATGACAAAAACACCTTTAAAATTTACAATACACCCCCATTTGTTTACATATTCTTTAACTTTTCCCTTATTAATTAATTTAAATATTTCAAATAATTTTAATTAGTTATTGTAAAATTACTTAAAACTCCCCAATGTTGTATACTACTTTTTTAAACCCTGGTTCTTTTCTGGTTCCTATCAGGGTACCCTATTCTCGGTTCCTAGTAGGTTACCCTATTCCAGGTTCTGGTTTCGGTTCCTGGTTCCAGGAATGAAGGAACCGGAACCGGAACCGAAATCAAAGAGTCTCAGCTCCTATTTTTTAGAACGAGAACCTACCTTGTGAGGGCCAGTTCCGGTTTTGGGGGGTACCCGCCAGTTTCGGGTAGAACCTATTTTCTTACTCACCCTTACATATAATACTGATTCAGACGTTTATATCTTCATAAAAAAAATCATTTTAAAAATTAATAGTTTACATAATGGTAAGAAAAAGACTAAACTGTATTATATTCACCAAAAAAAAAAAGACAAAAAAAAGAGCGGCTCTGTTTGGCTTATTATTTCTACCCATATTCCCAATCATATTCCCAAAATACTTGTTTGTTTTGTTATTTGAGAAATATTAGTATATTTTTTTAATTACTTTTAGACACTTTAAGTTTATTAATTTCATTAAATATCCTCAGAAAAAAGTTTAAAAATTAACAAAAACACCCCCATCCACCCATACTTGTTAGATTTCGGCAACCACCATCTGTGGTAGCTGGAATCTATCACAACGGCCTACAAACAATTGGAACTAGCCGGTAATTCACCGATCTGGCCATTAGCAACGGCTAAAGAAAAAGAAATGGCCATCGTTGACCGACAACGATGACCATATCTTTGGTCATTGTTGACGGCCAGATCTGGACTTTTGCGGCCGTCGACGACCAGATCTAGCCGTAGATCTGGCATTTTTCGGTCAGATTCTTGGTGGACTAGCCAGAAAAGGCCATATCGACGCCCTACCCGCCAGATTCGACTGATCTACGTCGCAATGCCATTTTCCGGCCAAATTCCAGCGGTGGTGACCGGAATCTAACACTATGGGTGGGTGGGGGTGTTTTTGTTATTTTACAAAAAATTTATATATTGGGGTGTTTAGTAAATTAGCAAACTTAGGGGGTTTTTTTTGTAAATTTTTAAATTTTACCTCATAATACTCCCCTATTCAACTACCTAATATTATTCACAAAATTCTATCCAAAATAATAAAACAAACAGACTCGCAATATTGACATTTTCTTTTTCATTCACTCTAAAAAGTGAAGATAAGAACTAGACTTAGCAATCCCCTACCCGTACCCGTGGGTCAACGGGTACCCATACCCAACGGGCGGGTACGAATAACTCATAATTTGACCTGTGAAAACTTGACCCATACCCGATCCGCCCGTAACATTTGCGGGTAGATCGGGTAATACTCGCAGGCACCCGCAATTTGAATTTAAAAAAAATAAAAATAAAAATGTTTGAATTCAAATAAAAGATGAAAAGTTATCTAAGTGAAAAGTTGTCAACGGAAAAAGTCAAAAAACGCAGCTCTCACCTCTCTCAGTCTCTCAGTCTCTCAGACTCACACACGGTACTCAATCTCATACTTAACAACTCTCTTCAGTCTTCTCTCACACAGCATCTCAACATGGCAGTGGTAGCACTCTTCTCTCACGCAGGTGACGCAGCATGGCAGTAGAGCACATTCATCTCAGTCAACACTCTTCTCTCACGCAGGCGACGCCGCACGGCAGTAGAGCACACTCATCTTAGTCAACACTCTTCTCTCACGCAGGCGATGCAGCATGGCAGCAGCAGGTCTTTTCTCTCACGCAGCGAAAAAATACACACTCATTAGTCATTATGAACAACGTACAAAATGTGTTCTGTAATGTGATCCTTGTTTTAGAGTTAGCAGCGAAAGCACATTTTTATTTAAAAACTTATATTATTCAAGAATCAAGATTTGGATCTGGAACCATTAAATCATTTTATAAATTAGGGTACTGAAAAGCAATTTTTCACGGGTGACCCGCGGGTGACCTGTACCCGTACGAGCGGGTACAGATTATATATATATATTGCGACCCGTTCGAAAAAATGACCAATGGACCCGTATCCGTTTCACCTGTAACCCGTTGCTACCCAGTCCATCCCCGCCCGACCCGCCCGTTTGCCAGGTCTAAAATTAAGAACTATGAAGACGGATTGACATTACCTGGAGGGGTATTTTCGACAAATTTCAAAATAAATGGGACTTAAACTTGCAATAGCCCATCCAAATTATGTTGATACACGTGGCCCTTCTTTACTAGTGTACATAAAACCCTGCGCCATACCTTCCCGCAATCTGGTCAATTCTGTTCTTTCATCTTCTTCCTTGATAACAAATCCTCTTCAGGTTATCATTATCTCGTCAGACCTTGTAATTACTGTTTTATCGTCAATATCAAATGCTAAAAGCGAGGGTATTGAGCAAGTATTCAGGCCGTGTTATGGCTCCGTTGATGTCAAATTTCAAAGAATCTCATGGCGTTGCCGGGTTCTCAAACTTTGGACTCAATACATTAAAAGGTGGCAAGTAAGCACTCCTTTTTTTTCTTTTTTTTTTTTCTTTTTGGGTATTTAAATTTTTCCATTGAAATTCTGTTTAATCTGAATTTATTTTTTAATTTTCTTTTAACGATTTTGTTATGAGTTATTAAATATTTAGTGGTACATGAACCGCTCAAGTAGTGAACTTCTATTTTTTTGAATTAATTGATGATAGATAAGGAGTGAAGAATTGGGTAGATGCTAGAAAATTTAGTTGGTGATTATATGAAATACAGTTTTGAGAATTTTTTTTTTTTAAATGTAGTTCTTCATCCTAATGAAGATCATGTGGTTATTTGATTGAGTTAGAGAAGAGACCTCCCAGTGGCTTTTTCACCAAGCATACCAAATGCTTGTTAGCCCCAAAAGTATAAGAAATAAAGAGTGTCTGGCTATTAAAGGTTTTTATTTTATTATTTTTTGGACATCTTTATCAGGCGATTAAAGGATCAAATACTTTTTTTTTTTTTTTTTTTTGGTTTTTGTTTTTGTTATTTTTGATAGTTTCACCATTTGGGGGTGTGCATTTTTGGTTAAATGCTGAACAGACTAAACAAGAGATGTTTGTTCTGTCAACAGGTTTCGTTCGATGTTATTATTGTTTTTGTTCAAATTGTGGAATAAGGCATGTGGTATAGATTCAAACAAATTATTTTAATCAAGGGCTGTGATAATGTTTCTATAATGATCTTACTAAGGAACTTCTTTTCCTATCTGGATGGATTGTTTAGTAACTGTTTGTTTTTAATCTTTTCCTTAACCTGGCAGTGATGAGTATACAAGAGAAATGTTGTTTTGGAGTAAACAAGTGAGGAATATATCTCAGGGTAGTTTCATTCATCATAAGTATGAAAACATAAGTTGGAATAATATGGTGCATGGTAACGGTCATAGTGCCTGGTATTTGTCAAATGGTCATTATAGCTCCAAATCCAATGATAAATCAACGAGGGAATTGCCAAAGAAGGTGAATCAATTTTTTATGGAATTTACTATTACCTGTATTCATCTTGGCTCATAATTTATTATGCTAGAGTTATGATCCTCTTTTATGTTCTTTTGAGCAGTTAATTTAGTTTGAATGAATTCTGTTGTTTCCTTAAGGTGAACATTAACATTATGTATTGTCTTGAAAGTTTTATTTTCTTCTTTTTCTTTTTCCATAGTTGCTTCATTTAGATGCTTCTTTCTAGTTGTTTCTCTTTTGTAATGTAGTCTAATGCTGTAGCACTAAAATTGATCATGCAGCTTTTAAGAAGTGTTCCAGAATTTGTGAAGTTAGTGGAAGTTGGCCCAAGGGATGGATTACAAAATGAGAAGGATATTGTACCTACTGCTGTGAAGGTCGAGCTGATAAAATTGCTAGTTTCTTCAGGATTGCCTGTTGTTGAGGCTACAAGTTTTGTCTCGCCAAAATGGGTGCCACAGGTAGCTGAGGGTTGGTTGTTTATGAGATGATCACCTTTCTGTATACTCTCTTCCCTTTGGTTCTTGGTTCTTTTTTCGCGGGCTGGATTGTCTTGCTATATAGTGTACTCTAATAAATGACTCTCTCATGTTGTCTTAATGTATACTTGTACTGTGATTTTGATCTCTTTGCTTTTGATAGGAAAAACTCATATTATGCCTGCTATAGTTTTGTTTTTAAGATCCTTAAATGTATATTCATTTGGTGTTTTCAATTAAATTATTGGACCTTACAACTTATGGGTTGCCAAATTTTGATACTTCCATGCATCTAGAAAGCATACATAGTGATAATATGGGCTGGTGTTAGTCATAACTAGGTGATGATATAAAATAAGGATATTTGGAACAAACTTCTTGATAGTAGAGAATGTGATTTGGAGTTTTGACAGATCATGTTATGTTAAATGGATTTGGATGTACTGGTTTGAATTTGTTGATCCACTTCATAACTCAGGTCTTTGGTTCAAGTTTAGGATGCCCCTCTGCTCCTAGATAATGATTAGAAGTATGTGATTCCACCTTCATGGTAGCTCCACTGAGCTCCAGATGCAGGAACGGGGGAGAAAGATTTGTGATTTTTGTGATTGAATCTTCTACTTGAACCAAGCCAGTGATCATGCATGGTTACGTAGTCCTAAATTGATTCATTGCAAATACCAGTGGCAGAGTTGTTTAAGTGATTTTATTGCTTTATGGGAGCTGCAAAAAGCAGCACCCAGCAGCACACATTTATGAGTTAGCTAGAAAATAATAATAAAATGATAAATGCACCCTGTATAACAGATAGTAGTCTCAGTTACAGAATGAGGGAATTAACTAAGATTGAATGTTTTTTACCCTGGACTTACAGTTATAGAAAAGTGTATTTTGTTGATAGGAATCTTCTAGAGGGTAGAAGGTTCTAGATGAAATTTGTTTAACAGTGGTGAAAATTACAGGCTACTGTGCTGTGGAATTACCTAAATAAGATTTATTTTTTGGTGATTTTATACATTTTGAATTCTCCTTTTCAAATTTTGTATAGCATATTTAATACCCTTCAATTTACATCGGATAAGGATTAAACTGCTAATATGCCTCCATATTCCTTGGTTTGGATTTTGAAGTTAGTTGTGTGTGTGCAGTATTTGAAAGAGGCTATCCTCCAAAATAAGCTTAAATGAGATATTGAGCTATTTTATGGTTGAACCACAGCTAGCAGATGCAAAAGATGTAATGGAAGCTATACGAAATATTGAAGGTGCTAGATTTCCAGTGTTAACTCCAAATCTTAAAGTACGTCTTTTTGTAATTCTGAAATCTTCAGTCATAATCAGACATATATTAGTGTGAAGGGAATTGTTGATTTTTTGTGTTTCCCTCCTCCAGGGTTTTGAAGCTGCTGTTACATCTGGAGCCAAGGAAGTGGCCATCTTTGCCTCAGCTTCGGAGTCATTTTCAAAGTCAAACATCAATTGTAGTATTGAAGATAGTCTGATTCGTTACCGTGATGTTGCGTTAGCTGCTAGGGAGCTCTCGATTCCTGTTCGTGGGTATGCCTTTTAATTCCTGTGATAGATACTCACCTTTTTTTTTTTCCCAAAAAAAGCCCTCTACTTTTCCTATGTGTTCACCGAGCTTTAAACTGGGGCTACTACGAGTCCTTACAACCTGGGCAGCCAAAAAACTTATGAAATATAATATTCCAAGTAGGTGGCCCCTAGGGGCTTCCGACCGTTGACCTTTTAGTTGAATACAAAGGCTCTTACCACTTAGCTTAACCATCAGGGTTAGTAATAAATACTCATTTTCTTTTATGATAATAAAACATTTGTTTTCCCTTCTTCATCTAATGTGGAATTAGCGTAGTGAAATGATAAAACAACTACTTTTATTTCTAACTTTGATAGGTACATTTCTTGTGTTGTTGGGTGTCCAGTGGAAGGAATGGTACTTCCATCAAAAGTAGCATATGTAGCTGAACAGCTTTGTGACATGGGTTGCTCAGAAATTTCCCTTGGTGATACAATTGGCGTTGGTACCCCTGGTAATGTTTGAAGCTTCCTTTGGCCTTTTTTATAACAGATGACTGAATTCTTTTGTTGCAAGAGAATTTTATGTGTCTGTACTGTGAAACTGTTGCAATAACATGATGCTTCATGATGCAGGCATATATATTTTCTGTTTAATATATTGCAGTAGTCAAACCAATAGGACCTTTCAAAATCTGAAGTTTCTATTATCTAGAATCCAATACAAGGCTTTGTTAGTGGGATTTGCTACCGGTATGAATTTGGATTTTCTAGCTCATTTAGGCTTCCTTCTATGAAGTCTGAGGAAATATCAACCTTTCAGTGCTTCACCTGTTTGAATAAAAAATTTGGAGCAAGCCTATTTTTCTTTAAAGGATGGAATTTAAATTTCTGTGATTTCTCATGAAAGAATGTAAATAACACATCAGAGTTGAAGGTGAAGCTATCAGATTTTGGATGATGAGTGAGAAATACAGGGGTCAATGTTGGATCATTTAAAACTAATTGTGACTGGAGCTATCAAGTGAGAATCAAGTATTACGAACTGTTGCGTTGACAGATATGGCGAGTAAGGTTGTTCATTTAGAGAGGAAATGTCAAGAAATAATTTAGAAGGTGACAGGCACTTATTAAGCATGATTTAAATGGTGGTCTTACCATACAATACTCACATGTGGTTAGATGGCACTTCCAAAACCCTTATCAGCTGTCCTGATGAGATTGAGGAAATAGATTTGCAGAACTCATGCATTTACCAGGTTTTGAAGTTTCAATTTTATGACAGCTTGAAGATGGACATGGTTCAGATGCTTAATGTGTGTTCATATTAAAGGGAACATGTTGGATTATGCTATGATTTTACATAAAAATAACTCCAGAGCTAAACGTTGGAACGTATGGTCACTGTTTGAAAATTTATATGGGAAAGAGTGTAGGATTCTCTTAAGTAGGGAAACTAAATATGGGGTTAGGCAGAGGTAGTGGGCTTAGTCATGAGTTGCCTTTTGCTCTTCTATGTTCAGTTAAACATTTCAGAAGCCAGACCTGGAATACTGTCCTTGATCATTTCCAATATTAAGATGACACTTTACTCTTTTGTGACATCTTGATATCCTGCCTAAGAATTATTGAATCACGTAACAGAAGATCTGAAACTTTATCCACCAGCTTCCTGGAACTAGTGTAATTTAAAATTGTTGTTGGGAAAATTATTCCTTCTCTAGTTATTTACTAACTCAGCATTTGAAGCCAATTTCAGCATCATTATTTAGAAGCATTACGTTGTGTTACCTTTTTTTTATTAACAATAAATTAGATTTTTAATTTTTTTCCCCTTGGTTCAGGTACTGTCATTCCAATGCTTGAAGCTGTTCTTGATGTTGTCCCTGTTGATAAGCTGGCAGTCCATTTTCATGATACTTATGGGCAGGCTCTTTCCAATATTCTTGCATCACTCCAAGTAAGGGACCTTCTAATTATGACTTTTACATGATTAACAAATCAGTAAAAGCTGTTTTTGAGGATCTTCATGGCCTTGAGAAAGATTAAACTTAAGCTTTCTTTTCTGCATACTGCATTTCTGATCAAGACATTGTCCCAATATTTATTGTCTTACCATTATTTGTCAAAGCTTTTTGATGGTCAAGTTGTTTATCGCTCAGGCTGAGAATTATTGCAGATGACAAATCATATTGCTGAAGACATCTTTTAACCTCTAGAGCCTTTATTTTACTTTTTTTTGGTTGTTAAAGCTTTAGACAACTTCACAGTGTTCAATTATGACAATTTGCTCAATTCCTGCAAGTCTCATTTAAGTTCTGTAACATGACCTTTGTTTGTTAATTAAACTTTGGCTGAAATGACTAAATAATTTAAAATCGAAGTACTTACAAACTAAAATTTAAATAAATGTATTTAAGTGTTGAAACACGTAGAAGTTCTGTAAAATTCTTTTCTTATTTTTCTTATAGATGGGGATCAGCACAGTAGATTCATCAGTCTCTGGTCTTGGGGGCTGTCCATATGCTAAGGGTGCTTCTGGTAATGTTGCCACTGAAGATGTTGTTTACATGCTCAATGGGCTTGGAGTCAAGACTAATGTAGATCTTGGAAAGCTCATGATAGCTGGGGATTTTATCTGCAAGCATTTGGGACGCCCATCTGGTTCAAAGACAGCAACTGCATTAAATAAAACCACCATAGCTCATGCCTCCAAGCTTTAGGGTAGTAGAGCTAAGATCAATCTATGTTCTTCCATATTGTAAACTAAAATAATACATCTCTTTCTCCTCTTCCTATGCATTTCCGCATTTCTTTTTGGATATTGTTTCATGTTATCTTGGTTAACTTTACTATTTTAATTTCCCGTCTTTGCAGATGGCCCTATGTACATATTTTCTGAAATAAAAAGTATTATCTTTTGTAATTTCTCTATCATGTTGTTTGTTTGTTTGTTTGTTAAGTGGAAAGTTTAGACCTTGTTTAATGTCTCTGTGGTTTGTGAGATATCAGAAGTCTTTGTGTTATCGCTAGAATTGTCATTATGCCGACCATGCTGTTAGAATGCAGCCTGTACAGATGGTCATTTTTTTTTTTTTTTATCTGGGGTCATGTTTTTACTTTTGTGCAATGACTTACTAATTCGAATTTGCTTTGTTTCATTACACAATAGGGTCTTCATCCTTTTCATGGACTTCTAGTTTGTCAATTTGAAGTATATGGATCGATTTGGTGCTTGAGGTAAAGACACACTCGAGAAACTTATGATAAATTTTGAAAGATTACTCGAAAAAATCTGAAATGGCTGAAAAATATCTCCATTTTTTCCATTATGATAGCAAAGAGTCAATGATTTAATTGGTGATATGACTGATATTTAAAAGCTTTGTATTTTAGTATTCACGGTGCTGTGATTACCTGCATGGGCCTACTAGCTTCCAAGAAAATACTGAAATACACAGTGCAGGCCCTCTTGTGTATATCATGTGATGATCTGAGTAACAAATGATTTATAAGCTAAAGCCAGTCCAATTTCTTTTTCAAGAATTACTTGGTGTTGAAACTAATTGTTTTGAGAATTTTATTCAGGAAAACTTTAGAATCAATCCATGATTTTGTAATTTGCTGATCTGTTGAAACTATTACCAATGTCAAACTTGAAATTTGTATCATTGAAACTGCTGCAATTAGTATATGAGAACATGAAAATGAGAGGAAAAAAAAATGTGACTGGTACATTAATTTGACCCACAAAAAATGTCAAGGCATAAGACAATTTGGGTTTGATGGATTCAGGCATCATGTCATGTGCGTTCCGCAAGTGTTCTGGTGTGTCTTTCAAGTTTTGAAACATGTTATAAGTAGTAGCCACTTGCGTTTTTGTTTTGTGTTGAATTTGAAATCCTCGAGAGAGAGAGAGAGAGATTGGTGAGTGAGAATTCCAAAATAATAAATATGAATAAGCAGCATTTAGAAAGAGCGATTGGTTGGTGGATGGGTGGATTTAAGAAGAAAGGTTGTTGATGTTGATGTATGAGTATGACAATAGACTTAATAGCATATTGGCGCTTTTAAAACTCTCTTTAAATGCTGCTGCAGGCCTTGTCTGTCTACTGCAGATCAAATATACTTAACCTATCCAATGGGGAAGCCACCCTAGTTAATGAATTCAACCTTTCTTTCTTTTTTTATTTTTATTAAAAAAAAAAATACTAAAAATTAGAAAATGAAAGGAAAACAGAAAGAATCCCTTTGTCCATCTAGTGTAAAACATTTTTTCCCCATAATTCATCTCAAAAGAAGTAATTAATGCAAGCTTCCTTTGCTAAAGTGTGTTTTTGAGTATTATTATTGTTGTTAAAAATGTTTTTTCTATAGTTTAAACTTAAAAAGAATAATCATTTCCTATGATTAATGTAGTATTAGACACATAAACAGTTATATAATCCCAACTTTATTAAATTACATTATTGTTTAGTATAATATAATTGAATCATTTTCAATAGTATTTTATACCTGCTTCTTTTGGGATTGTTTTTGTTATCATCCGGCTTATGGATTTAAGAAAACATTACCAGACGTTGAAGTATTAAAGTATTTAATGATTAAAAAAAAGAAAAGATTGTAAAAGATTACTTGAAATACGCATAAATTGATCTAAACACTCTCGATCATTAAAAAATAAAAAAAAAAACATTGTTTGTACTTTCAAATACGAAGTTGAAGATTATGATTCTAATTTTTTTTTTTTTAATCGTTATCATTTGCTTTCATTTTATAAAAGTTTTTTTTTTTTTTCTGTTATAATAAAAGGTAATTTTTTTTAGAAGTGGTTTATATATGCTAAATGGGATTATTAATTCTAGGAAATTAGATTATTGGTAGCATCATTCGAAGATACAGTTAAAATATGAACAAATGAGAACAAAAAGTCATTGATATACAACTCATCTTCTTCCAAAAACTTCACATTCACACTACTCGATATAGTAGAAAATGTATGCGTAAATATGGTATCTTTTCGACATGAAAACTAAAGTCTTACTTGTTCATGTTTGCTCATACTTTATGGGAAATGAAATCACACAAAAAGTATAAGAAAAAAAGAGAAGTCCCGCATGCAAAAAACAAATGGCGTGTAGAAAAAGGATAGTCTCTTTATATATACAAACCAGATCAACAAAGTCACAGACAGAAAGAAACCCTTTTCAATTGTAGCCTTATTTCTTTTCACCTTTCTTCTCCTCTTGAGTTTCCCAATTTCTTTTTTTCCTGTTCTTTTACCTTTTTTCCTTTTTTAATGTCAAACCTATAAATTTACATGCACTGCGTGGTACAAGTTATAAAATTTAGAGAAAAATATTTCATTCACTTTATTAAAGTGACTGGTTTAAGTTTAATACACACACTGAGTTTCATATTCTTTATTGATTTCATTTTCGCAGCATTGTTTTGAGAGAATAGAAGAATCAAAATTTTAGTTTTCATTTTTTAGTAATAATAAATAATAATAATATATAGGAATATTGAAGTGTGTTGGGTTTCATGTAGTGGATATATGGCTGGAAAAGCAAGAATATATCAGTACCAAACATGGAGTGGGGTCTGCCTCATAATCATTCAAAGTAGAGAAATTAAGATGATTAGATGGTTGTAAGACAATTGAATCATACTTTTACCTTATTAACATTTCTGATACTACTGCAAAATTTTGCCGGTAATCTGAAAATTTTGATACAGACACTGTCGAGAAGAGTTAAAGTTTATTTTATCACTAATTTTCGTCCAGAACGTTATAGATTAAACACTGATCTCCCTCTGCACTTGACAAATAATTGTACGTTTCCTCTTTGACTCAAGGCCTCGAATCTATGGATTGCATGGCAGATTAATTGATTATAATCTTAACTAAATTCATGTATACGTGTGACAAATTATACTTTTGTGGAAAATGTATTATTCTTTTATTGCGAATTATTCTGAATAATGATGATTCGAATATTGAAAGTTGATTCTAATTTCTGAATTAAAGCTGATTATTCTAAATACAAAGTTATAATGCGTAGGAAATAAAAAGATTATATGCTATAATGCGTAGGAAATAAAAAAGATTATATGCTAACTACAATCTGTGAGCATTATTTGCATATTGAAAGTTGATTCTAATTTCTAAATTAAAGCCGCCTGTAAAATTTGGATGAAGCGAAGAGAAATTTACAAAATATAGTGTCTCCTATTAAGTACAAAGAGAGTAACAGTCGACTATACAGCAGTGAGCAGACCAACATTGATACCAACAACAACCCCATTAATGGCAGTATTAATGTTTCATGAAGAAACTTATATTTGAATAATAATATTTCTTCACAGTTCTTATATAGTAATCTTTAACAAATTAATAGGTATATTTCCTCACAAAAAAAAGAAAAAAAGAAAAAAAAAAACTCAAAAGCTAAACTTTCATATACATCTGTAATATTTGCTTGAGGCATCTCAAGCATCAAAAATGCTCATAAGAAAGAACACAAAAAAGAAGAAAGAAATAAGAGAGAACTTAAAGCTAACAGAAGAGAAGATTAATATCAAAGCTTTAAAGAGAGAAATCAGGGTGGTTTCTCCGATAAACTTATCTGTTGTGTAGAGGGTTTGGTCCGGTATAGACTTTTCTCTTTTCAGCACCAAAAACTTCATCTCCTTTTTTAACAGGATGTGCTTTAAAGCCGCGAACAGATGTGTGCTGAGAGTGAGAATTACCAGGGCCGGCTTTAAATCTACTAAACTTTGCAAAACCTTCGGCATAACATGGAGTCTCCAACTGTAGTAATAGCATTAGAAGCAGAAGAGATAAAAAGGCCAAGTCTCTTCTGAATCCCATGTGTTTGTTGGTGATGATGAGGACCAAAATCATGTCATGGAAGTGAAACTCCAGAGGAAGTGTACTGTAAATGGGTGGTGTTGTTTTTGGTGGAAGATGATGAGGTGTGAGTGTGAGGAGTATTGTAGTAAAGAAAGTTTTTGGCTTATTTTAGAGAGACCTAGGAGTTTGAAGAATAGGGAAGTCAATGGTGGAGTGGGAGTCAAAATGCATAGAACTTGCTGCCTGGTTTCTATAAAAATATGGAGCAGATTGCAGAGGGTGTTATTGGAAATTTATTTTGCTACTGATTTCAGAGCCTAGGTTTTTGGCTGGGAAAAGCTTTGAATTAAACCACTGAGAGAGAGAAAGAGAAAGGAGAAAGAGAGAGATAAGTGGTTTCAATTTCATAACCTGAAAGAAAACCCCAATGTCTCTCTTTCCAATCTTTATCAATCTTGGGTCATGTGAGATTTAATCATTTTCTTGGTTTTTCCTCAAACTTACTCCAATGTGACTCTCCTGTGTGCACCATACTCATATTTACGTTTCTACCCTTCTTCCTAAATATATTCCCAAGGGCATTCTAGGTAATTTTTACCTTCACAAGGCTTCTAGGATTCATTTGCCCCTTATGTTATATTATAGGTCAAACATATATCATATCTAAATTTTACATTTAAAGTAATACTACCAACTAATTTTTATTTCATAAAATTTGCCCCATAATAGAAAATGTTTATCTATATGATAAATCAATGAATGTATATTATTCAATAAATCTTGGCTAGTGAGGGACTACATATTGTATTTTCTTTTTAATTTCCATAAGAAAGGATTAACTTGATGAGAAGAAAAATGAAAAGAACAGTAGTAGGTAGCAAATGTACATGGAGCTAGTACAATTTAAGACCTTAAAAACTATTAAAAGCATGCATGCACATATATATATATATAGTTCCAAGTTCCAACTCCAGCTAAAAGTGCCGGTTCTTTTTGGGGTTTAAAGAAGATAGAAAACAAAAAGTGACACA